ACCAGTTGCCCCCGGAGCTCTTCGATCGCCTTGCCCTGCTCTTCGAGCTGCCCAAGCTGCTTCCTCACCTCGTCCACGTTGAGCTGAAAGAATCGGAGCCGCATCAGTCGGCTGCAGGCGGGCACCCGAGCATATCTGCCGAGGCCGCAGGCCCCACACGCCCAGCCGCCCCGGCAGCGGGCCACACGGGGGAGGCGAGGGGCAGGGCCAGGCCACAGCCCGGCTCCTCCTCTCCCCCATCCGTGGGCACCCCGCCTTCCTTGCCTTGCGTCCTGCTGCCCCAGGGCCCTTTTCGGATGATGTGGGGTGCAAATGCTTCACACGGGGAAAGAGACCAAATATCGGGGGGTTGCAGGGAGGCGCCTCCGCCTGCGTGGGACGTGGCAGGCGCCCGGCAGAGACGCCCCGGCTCGCTCACCTTGCTGACTTCGTTTTTCAGCTGGACCAGCTCCTCCTGGAAGCTGCTGGTGGCCGCTTTCAGGGAGCAGATGTTGTTCAGCAGATCTTGCAGCATGTTCATGGCCTGCGGCAAAAGGCAAGGAGGGCGAACGAAAGCGAGGAGCTGGGCTGCAGGCCGGAGCGCCCGAAAGCTGGTGGCTACTTAGGACGCTCCAGGGAGGGGCCCCGTTGGCAAACGCTCGCTCACGCAAAAGTTCAGGTGCAACCCTTGTCGTGTCAGTCGCAATAGGGCGGGCGCCAGCACAGCAGGTGTGGCGTGCACAGCCCGCAGTTCGGGCTGCGGAGCTCACCAGGCAGCGGCCACTGCCTCTCTGGGAACCATTTCGGGACCCAGCCGGGCGGCTGGCAGAAGAGCAGCAAACTGCGATCGCAAACGAGGATGCAGCCGAATGCTCAGACAGTCCTTGACATTGTGAAGTTTAACCGCGTCTGGATGGGCAGCGGCCTTGAGGCGTGTGACCTGTCAGGCAGGGGGTGGCCTTCTGAACCGGGGGCGCCTGGCCCCCTTGGGACGGAGGCAGAGGTGCCCGGAGCACAGTGGCTGATGGGCCTCTGGGGGCTGTGCCCGCAGACCCTCCGGCTCATGCCGCTGGCCCGCCGAGGCGAGACCCGCCTTGCGCCGGCAAGGCCCCGCTTCAGCACAGGGCAGCCACCGGCTGCGAGGGCGTGCTGCGAGCGGGAGAGGCAGGGTTGCCCGCCGGAGCTGAGGGGCCGCCCTGCCCGGCAGCCCCAGCAAGGGCCAAGCGCAAGGGCCACGGCGAGGGTGGTGTGGAAAACGGGCAGTCGGACGGATGCCCCTCTGGCCCGCCCTGGCAGTGGGGAGGCAGGGAAGCAAGATGGGGAGGGCGGTGCCGGTGCAGCGGGGCTCCCCACCCCGATCACGCGCCACCGGCCGCCCCTTCGCGTGGTGGGACCTTGGGGCCCGAGGGGCTCCGGGCTGCCCGGCCACGATCCTCAGCCTCGTGTGGCCCCCCTGGACCTCCCAGGGGAGGTGCCCCAGGATGGGGACGAGGACCAGGCTGTCGGCTGAGCAGCAAGGAAGCCCCCATTTTCACCACTTGCTGGGGGGAGCGGGCTGAGGCCCCCCTGGAGCACCGCATGGAGGCAGTCCTTTCAAGCCCCAGCGTGGCCCCTGCTGCCAACCCAGCAGGCAGCCCCTTAACCCTGCCCCCCGCCCCATGCCCAAGAGCGGGGTTTACCTTCAGCATCCCTTCCTCATTCAGCTCCATCTTCTTCTTCAGCTGCATCATTTGCCACATGTCCTGGGCAGGCTGGGGAGACGCTGTGCCCTGGCTGCGGGCCAGCAGCTCCTCGGTGCCCGGGGAATCGTTCAGGAAGCTCAGCCGCCTCTCGAGGGCCGAAATTCGGTCGTGCATCTGATGAAAGATGGAGCTGGACCTCTTGGCCGTGGGGACGGCTTCCACAGAGGCCGTGCCCGTGGCCGGCAGAGCCGCGGGCGGCCTGATGAAGTCCAGTTCATCGTCCGCGATCTCCTGCTTCACGTCCTCTATGCGCAGGTAGTCCAGGAGGCTGTGCAGGAAGAGGTGAAGGGCGTTGAAGTTGACGCTGCCCAGCTCCGGGGTCCCGATGGCCAGGTTGACCAGCTCCGCGAAGGAGACGCTGTGGCTCATCTCGCTGGCACAGCCCCGGGCTCCCGCCCTCTGCTGCTCAGCTAGTTCTTGAAGGGACGGGATGGAAACATGGCCCCAGAGCGCCGGGGCTCCGAAGCCGCTGCTGCAGGCATGTGATTACGCTGAGGAAGCCTCCGTCTTTCCGCCGGGAGTTCTGCTTGGCGTGGAAAGTTTCTGCTGGTTGCTAGGAGACTCCGGAACATGGGAAACTCCGGAAGAGGCCAGCCGGGAGGGGGACGCTGGGCTGTGCCGGGCAGCAGGAGGGCCGGTGGCGGGCTGGGACTGTAGCCGCAGCCGCTGCTCCGTGCAAAGCCCGGTGGGGGCGGGTCCCTGGGGAGCAGGAGGGTGCTCGGGGTGGGGGGGCTCCTGGAGCTGCGCAGAGGCTTTCCAGGCCAAGTCGGGGGGCTGCTGCTGCCACTAGAAAGGGCAGAGTTAAGCACCCCTGGGGCTTCGACTGGGCTCTTCGCCCTCCACAGCGGCACTGGGAGGGCAACGTGGTCGTGCTGCCTGGGGCCGGTTGGGAATCGCGAGCACAGGCAGGAGGGGCCAGGGCCGTGCAGCCTGCTATGAAAAGCGGCGGGTGCAGGGGAGCCTCAAAAGGCTGCTGCATTTTGGGCTGGATCTGGGTTTTTTGGGGTCCTGTTCCGATTGTGGGAAGCTGCTCTGGTCCCTCTGTGAAGGTCGGGGCACGTGTTTTGCAAATGAATGAAAAACTGCTTTCATTTAGACAGCATTTCTGTGGTTGGCAATTCATAAGGTGATGCACTTTAGGAATGGAATGGCTGATTGGCTGAAAGGAAACATTCCCACGCTGCTTTTCAACTGTTTCCAGTGAGGTTTACAACCTCATTTGAAATACACGTATGACTCTTTGCGACTGTTTGTCATCTCTTGCATATTGAACATTTCAACTCCTTCCCGCTCGGAGGCTAAAATGCACTGGACTGCAGGTCCCAGCATCCCAGAGCCAGCACAGGAGAATTCCACACATCTGGAGTCGAGGGCGCCAGGCTGGCCAAGACTGCAAGGGAGCCACGTGTGCAGCCGTTTAAAGCAAGTCCAGGCTGCTCTCTCAGGGCTCGCTGCTGCCAAGAGCCTCCCTCGGGCTGCCCACCCTGGAGAGCACCTGGATTGATGCAGGTGTTCCCAAAGGCCTGGCAGGACGAAGATCAATTGCACGTCTGCATCAGCGACGCCCCAGAAGCTGCCGGGAGCAAAGGCAGTGCTGCACCCCTCCGTGGCAGGCTCAGGTCTGATGCCAGCACAGGAACGTGGCAGCTTTTCCAGAAAAGCAGCATCGCACCATGGATGGGTGGGGTGGGCTGTCTCATTCTGAATGCGGGGCTACATGGCCCAGGGTCCCGATCTGGTCCTGCGGCATCCCCAGGGTTCCAGGCTCCGCCTCCTGCTTTCACGTCTTGCACTAAGAGGGCATGCCAGGAAACCTGCTGAGCCTTCCTTTCCCAGAACTCTTCCTGCAGAAGTCCGGGCCTGGGAGGCAAGCTGAGCACAGTCCTTCCCCACGTCTGTGCCGGTGACTGCAAGGACAGCAGCCCACACCCCAGCCCAGGAAAGCAGGGCAGGGGATCCCACCACAGAGCATGAATGCTCTGCACCTGTAGCAACGCTTTCCCCAAGCATATCCGGTGCTGTCCAGATCTGTTGGACTGCGACTGCCGTAAGCCCCAGCGGCCAGCATGGCAATGGTCAGGGACTATGGGGACTGTAGTCCCTAGGCTCTGGAAGCCCACGGTTGCACACCATGGAGCGAGCTGCCAGCGGGGCTGATGCTCGGACTGCCCTGAGCATGCTGCTCCGACTCCACCAACGCGCTGGTGTCCTTGCCGGCCCAGCCCGGCCCTGGCAGTGCCCTGCGGCAGCGTTTCCAAGGGAGGCGGCTGCTGCACCCAGCCGCTCCCACTGCTGCTTCCCGGACACTCCTGAAACAGCCCTGCTCCTACCCTGGCGGGGCCGGAGGGATGCCCAAGAGCGCTCGCTCGGGGTGGGGCCTGGAGGGGGCGCGGGTGCGGCCCCCACCCGGCAGGGCCCCAACGGGGCAGCATCCCCAGGCAGCTACGGGGGCCGAGCGGGGCTCCGCGCATCCGTCTGGCTCCAGCTGACTGTGGAGGACTCCTGTGGGCGGCGGCGGCGGAGAAACGCCGCTCTTGGGCTGC